GTTTAGGGGTTTAGGGGTTTAGGGTTTAGGGTTTAGGGTTTAGGGTTTAGGGGAACCCTAAACCCTAATGCAGGGGCCTTAATAGTTAGAATAGGGTTTTGGGGGTTCCTTATTATACTTATAGTATTATATACCCCAAAACCCTATTCAATTCTAATTATTAAGGCCGCTATCTTCGACTAGACCCCTAAACCCCTAAATCCCTGAACCCTACACCCCTAAACCCCTAAACCCCTAAACCCTAAACCCTAAACCCCTAAATCCCTGAACCCTAAACCCCTCAACCGAACCCCCTAGATCCTGCAACCTCTCACCCCAAACCCGAATTCCGAACCTCGGTGAAGACCTCTCAGCTTTCAGATTCGTGAGAATAGGGTTTAGGGTTTGGGGTTTCGGGCTTAGTAAGTAGGCACTAAGTAGATTTCGAAGTACCCCAAAACGGGGTCCTAATTGGGGCTATGATGCTTTAAAGTCTAGAGAACAAATACTTACCAAGTCCCACGACCTTCCAAGTAATCCATGATAAAAAAACATACCCTGACAACGCAGGCCATAAAACCCTAAATTAAACTGAAAACCCTTAAAACGCACGCCATAAAGTCCTGCACCCCGAGCTTCCTGTCTCAGAAAGCTCTCAAGTCTGTTTCGTTCCGTGGCCTAAACCCTAAACCCTAAACCCTAAACCCTAAACCCTAAACCCTAAGCCCTTCCGTGGCCTACGGTGTCAAAAAGCTCGTAGCGGAGCAATGGTAGCAGCCCGTCATCTGAAGCTTTCAAGGTTTAGGGTTTAGGGTTTAGGGTTTAGGGTTTAGGCTTTAGTTTTACAGTTTTGACACAGGGTTTAGGGCTTGGGGTCTAGGGTTTAAGGAGAGGGCCTCAGATTGGTTAGGGGTTTAAGGTTTCCAAACTCATGGTTGTAGGATCCAGCACTGCGGCGCTGCACCCTTAGAACCCTGACCCCAAAACCCCCGCAATGTCATACGGCCCTAAACCCTAAGCCCTAAACCCCAAAACCCCTAAACCCCTAAACCCTAAGCCCTAAACCCTAAGCCCGGGAGCCTACGGCAGGCGGACACGAAAGAGTCGAACCCAACTTTAAAAAAACCCTAAACCCCAAAAGCGCCTCAGACAGGTCTGCCACGGCTACCCAATGCTGCTGAAAGAGAGAGGCTTTGGAACTGCGCAGGCAAGCGCTTCTGAGTTGTCGAGGGGTTTGGGTTTAGAGTTTAGGTTTAGGGGTTTTAGGGTTTTGGGGTTTAGGCAGGGTTTTATGGGGTGTTTGCTGAGTTTGGCAGGGTCTGAAAGGGCTTAGTTTCTGGGGGTGGCAGGGTTTCCTTGTTTTTTTTGGCAAAAAGAACTTCCGTTTGTAAGGGCTCTTATTGATTGGTTTTTTTTGTATGACGTTTCGATAAGGGTTGCTAGAAGCCCTTACGATTCTTATCAGGCTTCCTATTCGGCTTCTAAGGGGGGTTTCTACAAGGGTTGTTCCGAGGGTTTAGCATCTTTGTTGCTGGTAGGCTATTCGTGTTGAGTTTAATCAGTGTTTCTCCGGGGGCTATCTTCGGATTTTGCACGAGGTTCCCCAAGACGGCAAACTTGCCCAAGTAGGCCCAGTATGCAACATACTTCTTACTCATGTCGCATCGCAAGGACCCTCGCATGATTGAGTATCTGAGTGGCACCTTCTGATTAATGCATTCAGTGTTTCTGATTCAGGGCAGGTTTTCAGGAGTGTATTTAAGCCTTTCGCTTTTAGAGCACCCAGGCTTTTAAACCCTGGTCCCTAAAATCCTAAACCCTAATCCCTAAACCCTAGCCCGGAATCCTCAACCTTGAGCCCGCCTGAATCCTAAACTCTAAGCCATGCGCGCTATAGTCCAGAACCCAATGTAGCACGTCTCAGTCCTAAACCCTAAACCCTAAAACCCCAACTCTAAAGAGACCCCCAACGCCAACCGTTTAAGCAATACACCTTGCAGTAAATCATAGAGACCCTAAGCGCTAAACCCTAAACGCTAAACCCTAAACCACTATTCTCAAAAAACAGGGACCCCAATTTAGAGAACTACCCATTATCATCCAGGGAGACCCATCCAACTTTAATTGAGGGCCGATCTTCGATCGAACTGGCGGATCCCTCTATGATGTTAGATTTGGTTTAGGGTCATATGATTATATATATATATATATATTTGTGTTTTTTTATTTTTTCAAGTCTCTGTGATGTTAGATTTGGTTTAGGGTCTAGGGTTTACGGTTACAAGGGATAGGGTTCAGGGTTTAGTCTAGGGATTAGGGTTTTCTGATTACAAGGGATCGGGTTTAGGGTGTAGGGTTAGGATTGAGGGTTTCGGGTTTAGGAGTAAACTTAAGATATGTTCTGCTGCTCTTTGATTACCGGATATCCGTCTCTGCGGCCACGGGTTTGACTTCATCGCCTGACTTCATGTAGCTTATGGGGGATTCTAGGGTTTACGTGAAGGTTCAGGA